TCATCTGACCTGGTGTCAGGGGCTTACAACAGACAGCATTCTGTCTTCCTGCCCACGCAGAATACATGGTGTAGCACGAGAGAAACAAGCCTGTTTTCCTCCCTAGCTGTAGCCCACAGGGCCCTTTGCATTGCAGTGAATTAAAATACTTCTTCAGCACTGTGATTACCCGTGAAAAGTTCCTACAGGAGTAGCTACGCTCTGCAGTGCTGGGATCCCCCAGACAGCGCCAGCCAAGGAACCGGCAGCAGGACAGTTGTGTCAGCACAGTGCCGTGCCTGGACTTGCCCTCTCAAGAGCTGGGGAGATAATTAGCTCAGGCAGGATGCCACATTTTCAGGGCTTAACAGCCCTGCACGACAACACGGGGAACCTTGCAGAGGCACTGGCCTCTCAGTGCTCCCTTGTGCTGCAGTACCCACTTCTGAAATGCAGGAAAGAGCTGGTCGGGTCTTGCCATAAGGATTTGCTCACTTCCAGCTGATCTTCGCTGCTTGTGAAGGGCTGGTGGCCTCACCTCTGGGCTGTGGTACTGCATTTCAGAGGCAAGCAAAAACACTTGCCATCACTTTCCAGGGAAGGGGCCTGCAGGGCTGGCAGGAGTGCTGCGTTTCCAGCAAATCAGATATTTGTTCCCTTCCAGGGAGTACTTATCCACTCAGCATCTTTGTGAAACCCTGGTCACGTCTTATGAGAGGAATTCAGGCACAGAGAAAGTAGATCTTCCTGAGAAAATCTATGTCAAAACAGAGAGTTGAAGCTAGATCTCCAGATTCCCACATTTATCATCCTAAAATACAGTTTATTCTTTCCTTCTAATCAATAAAGCCATGTAACAGGCCATGTCCCCACACATTTAAGTTTCACATCACAGCCACCACTATGGTAAGTCAGCAAGTTACAGACACTAGCAAGACACCAGTGGGAAGTACTCCATGCTTGATGCCTGGCAAAACAAGAGTAAGGACAGAAGCTTGAAGGGATAAAACAAGAAGCTTGAAGGGATAAAACATGAGAGAGAGACATCACTGTTGAGATCCTGGGAACAAAGCTGTTAACCAAGAAAAGGACCTCAGCTTTTGAGTGGAAATTCCACTGCCAGGCAAGTCAAGCATTCATTAGAGAGCCATCTCTCTCCCAGTCCACCTTACTGAACCATGGGACTTCAGCCATGTCTCCCTGGAGAACAAGAAGGGACGTGAAAAACAGAGGGCTAACTGATGCCTATTTTTGCAGCCTCAACAAGCAGGTTCATACCTCCTGTTCACTAAGTAGGATGGAAATTTTCTGTCTCCTCTAGACCAGGCAAAGGCACTTGGGTATCACTCAGCCTCATGCACACCCAGTGAGGAGGATCTGGTCCAGCTCTGAATAGCAACATCCCTGGCTCAAAACAGTCAAATTGGTTTTAATTTGCTTTTAAAGGGAAAAAGAGAAACACCATAGAGGTTGAAAATGGGCAGCAAACAAAACAGCTGTACTGAAAAAAAAAACCTCTGAAAAAACATACTTTACAATGGTAATTATGACAGATTAAACAATGAGTGTCATCAGTGTGATGGTACAATGCACACAACACTAGCTGTTTCCTACTCAAATATTTGCAGACATCTTCAATTTTTATTTTAATGAAATCTCATCTAACTATTGAATCGACTTTAAGAACCATCCTGATGCTCACAAGAGCTTTCGTTGTCAGAAGCTCTGTCAGATATTTGAACTGCAATTTGCCCCCAATGGTTCCCAGCTTGAACTAGAGGAATGCTGTAAACACAGCCTTTTAGGAGATGATGAGTCTGAAAAATCACTGCCTACAGAAAGAATGTCTGTGAGAGGGGCCGAGGACCTCTCCTGCTCTGCAGTTACAACAGGAATTGTAAGGATCCCTACACCTTGATGAAAACTTCTGCTGCAGGTTTTGTCTGCTTCTCAAACATATGCAGGCATATGTGCTGCTGTGTGCATAAGCTGTCCTCTTTGGATGGCTAAGCACATGGAATCCTTTCCCCATTCAGTGTACACGTGCATGACAAGTACAGGCTGCAACCATGGAGCCAAAGAAAATAAATCAATTCCTCTTGAGAACTTTTGAGAGCTTCACAGCTATTGGGTGGGGAGTAATGCAATTTAAACAATGATACATTAATTAATGATAAATGACAGCGTGTGAACACATGGGATTTCCAATAATACCAAATGAGATCATGACGGTTTATATAAAATAAAAAACTGATAGAAAAGCCTCCATGTGCTCAGGACACCCAGTTATTTAAGGAAATTGGCTTTCCATGTTGCTGAGTATATCATGTAAAGAAAATTCAATGAGCTGAATCCTGAGATTGACCCTTCACTATTGTTTTGTTTTAAGCAAAAACATCTATTGCCTTTAATAAGAACTTTTTTTAAATAAAGGAAATCACCTCAGATGTGACCCTTGTGGATATGTCTCATTGTCATGTTCAATACAGTTGTCTGAGCTCCTGTATTTGTGACATCCTGCTTCCTGTTGGGTCTCACAGCATCATTCTCTCTCAAGTATTTGCGAGATTTTCCCATGTTTCCTTTAGGTGTCTACTTGGACCGAGTTTCACTGGATCTAAGAAAGATGATGATGACAGCTCAGTACAGAAGGAGAAGCTGTGTTTTGCCGCAGTCCCATTAATCCTTGAAGAAATTTGGAATCAGAAGACAAGCTGGCACTGGTTATATTTCTAAGCTGGCTGTGAAAGCCACAGATTCACATGCATCTCGAGGGCCAACGATTTCCCCCACCCCTCCAGGAGGTAATGCCAAAACAATCCTGTGTGCCACCCCTGCTGACTTTGTAGACGTAGTGCTGCCTTAAGCCGTAACTCTCACCACTCTGAAAAAATAAAACACTACGGACAGCAACAAAATTTTGTTTGCCAAACGTCTGCCAAATGGAGAAGGGCCACATGACTAGGCAAAGAATGTTTATTTTAACACTCCCGAAGTCTGCTAAAGATAGTAGAGAATGAAAATAAACGTGAGAGCTATCACACTCAAGTAAGAGGAGTTAGCAAGCATCTTTAGGGTAGCAACATGAAGGAATTTTGGAGCTGTGTGTCTGAATAGGTTCTGTACCAGCTGCTCTGACCACCCAATTGATGGGGCACTTTGTGGACAGGAGGGTACACACTGAGAAGTGGGGAAAAACCACAGTATCGTTCACTTTGATAGGTATCAAAATGCCTATGCCAATAATACCATTGCAACTGTTCCTAGACTGCTCCATACATCACTAGATCTGGGTCAGCACAAAATTAAGGATCACAAAGTAGAATCTGAACACAGAAAACAGCAAAGTTCCCTGCAAAACTTTGCACAATATACAGAAACATATGTAAACAGTAATTTCTGAACAGATTTAGCTTATTTGACTTTATTCCTTTTCAAAACCTTTTCTAGAGTCTTCAAGAGAGAAACCTAAATATGTTGCAAAACCCTCAAATGCTTTGCTCATGTACTTTATAAATTTTCATTTTTTCTGAGCTGAAGAAGAGAGTTATCGAAGGCTGCCATGCTAATTCCTGAATTTCTTCCTGTTTATTGCCTTTTCACAAGTGGCTGACTCAACAGACAACTGAGAAAAGACTAAATAAGTTTTCTCTGGGTGGCATTTTAAGCTGGAGTATTTTAAGAACTGCTATTATGTTGCAGCTGAATATTCCAACAGACTGTCTGACTCCTTTCTGAATCAGAGTGCCACCAGGCCAAATATTTGCACAAATTCCAAGCATCGCCCTGCACATTCTTCACAGAGAAGAGTGATTTTATATCCAGGTGAACAACAGCTCTTTACTCCAGCATTCGATCTGTAAAAAAAATGTAATCTTTAGGACAACACCAGAATAAGTAGATTTAATTGTGAATCTAGCAAAATCCATGTTTTCTCAAGATCTTTTCTTTCTTGTCATACTTCTCCATCTATAAACAGGCATGCAACGGTACAGACACATCTCTGTGTTGAGAGATCGATAAATGTGAAATTGTACAGGAATTAAGGGGGGAGGAGAAGGTACTTCAGAGCCTTCAAAAGAGAGATTTGAACCAAAGTTGCTGAGTTGCTGCTAATGATACCAATTGTCTGGGTTGGGATTTTTTGAGACAAAATGTTAGTACTTCCAGCTACAAACAAGGTCAGTGAAAGACTTCACTGAATCAGCAAAATTCCTCAGTTTTCTAGTCTTTGAAAAAAAAAGGCCAGAAAAATTTGAAGTCTATTTCTAAGAAAGGAAGATTGAGAAGGACCAGAGCTATTTTAAAAAGATTGCTAAATGTAACTAATGGAGATCCAAATACATACCTGTCGTATTTAGGGTGGTAGCAGGTCATGAAACATGGCTCCATAACCCTGCCTCTGAGGCATGCCTGCTTCCTAAATCGCTCTTCTGTGATATGCAACCTAAAGAAGTCTTATCACAAGTCTCTTTTAAATGGTGGCTAGTAGAAACTAGGACTGTCGGAAAGTAAAACGCCTTTTTTATTTCTAAGTTGCAACTCAAAACCAAAATGTTGGGGTTTCTATTGAAGAGAAATATGCTCTCATGACCAGGGTATAGTCTTAAAACTGTGCCAAGGAGGTTTAGGTGGGACACCAGGAAGAATTTCTTCACAGAGGGAGTAATTAGACATTGGAATGGGCTGCCCAGGGGGGTGGCGGAGTCACCGTCCCTGGAGATGTTTAATGAAAGACTGGACGTGGCACTAAGTGCCATGGTCTAATTGACCTGGTGGTGTCGGGTCACAGGTTGGACTCGACGATCTCAGCGGTGTGTGCCCTGGCGCTGGGGGGTGACGGCGGGGCGGGCAGCCCCGGCACGGCCCGCGGCTCCCGGGATGAGCCGCACCGGGAGCGGCCGCGCTGCAGCACCGTGAGGGGCTCCGCGACGCAACTCTCGCGAGAGAGCGGCCGCTCCCCCTACGCGCCTCGCACCGCACAGACGGAGCTCTCGCGAGAGCTGCGCCCGCGGGCCGGCATGGACGGGCTGTTCGCGCTGGAGCTGCTGGTGGAGGCGGTGCGGGTGGCGGGGCCGGGACCCGCGGAGCACCCGGGACCCCCGGAGCACCCGGCCGTGGCGCTGCGCCTCTTGGACTTCCCCACCCTGGTGCTGCGCCCCCGCCGCCGCGCCGCCCCTGCGGCCGGGGCAGTCCCTTCCCCTTCGGCCGCGGCAAGCGCTGCCTGTTCCGCTGGCGCCGGGGCTCGCTCAGCGTCGCGCTCCGTCGCCGCCCGCTCCGCGCACTGCTCCTGGCGCTGCCCGCCGGGCTGGCCCCGGGGCCCCCCCGCCTCCTCGGCAGCTGCGCCGTCCCCCTTGCCCCGGCCGCCGCCGAGCTGCTGCACCGGCCCGGAGCGCCCGCTTCGTGCGGCCGCCGCGGACGCTTCGCGCTGCGGGACACCGCGGGCCGCATCGTCGGCGAGCTGGTCCTGGGCTACCGCCTCACCTGCCTGGAGGGCGGCGAGGAACCCCCCGCGGCGAGCCCCGCAAGCCCCCGCGCTGCCACGCCGCCTGCCACCTCCCCTGAGCCGGGGGGCCAGGAGGAGGAGGAGAAGGAGAATGAGGAGGAGGGGAGAGTGAGGAGCTGGAAGGCAACGTGTTTTGCCCTCCGCTGCTCTATTACAGCCGTGAGCCGGCTGAGCCTCAGCGGCCGCAAGCACCAGCGGCCGCGGCGCAATGGGAGCACGTCGAGGTCAGGAGATCACAGGAGAAAGACAAGGGCCGGAGCCCCCCGCGTCCCAGTGCCGGCCCCTCGTTGCTGCACCCCGCCAGCCCTCGACAGCACCACAACAACACCCTGGGACAGCTGCCGCTACTCAGGGCCTTGCTGGCAGAGCTGTCGGTGCTCACCCAGAGCGCTGTGCCAGCTGCTGCTGACCACCCACATCTTGCCTGGCTTTACCAGGCCCCGGGGAGTGGTAGCAGGGCCTCACGGCCCCTCAGCCCTTCCGCTGCCCTCAAGCCTGCAGAGGCACCTGTGGGGCCTGGTGGGAGCAGCGGAGCTGTGAGCCCCCAGTTCAAACAAGACAGGCAAGAGGCCACCCCACCAGTGTCTTCTGGTGCTGGAAGAGGACCTAAGAAAGCTGTGCCCCAGGGAAAGCCAGCTGCTGAAAGGATCTGCAAAGCTAAGGAGAACAGACCTCCCAGAAAGAAATTGTTGTATGGGCTGACAAATACACTGAGGCTACGGCTGCAGCAGACCAACCCCGATAAGCTGATAATTCATGAAAGGAGGGAGAAGTACAGAAAAAGGCAAATGGAGATGCTGAAGGAGAGAAGCCCGTTACTCAACAGAAAGCTGCTCAGAAATGCTGGAGGACAGCATGTGGTTTCTTGCAAGCGTTGTAGCAGGAAGGCAGTTCAAAGCAGAATAATCAGTTGGATAAAACTGTCCAGACTTCATTAGAAAACAGTGTTCTCCCAGAGTCCATTTCTGTGACAGGAGATGGGTGCCCTGACCTGCAGGAACAGACTATTGCAAGTCTACAGAAGAAGGATGCAATTACGAGCAAGGAACATCCATACAAAGTAACTACAGCCCCCTTACTGGAGGCAACTGTGTTAAAATCTGCTCAGGAGGAAAAGCATGCGAAAGCTCAGGTCCTAGCAGCATTCCCATCAGATGCTAATGCAAAGGGAAGTAATGAAGCAATACACTTAATCCATCCTGAAACCAGAGAGCATGATGATGCATCTGTTATAAGTGGTCATAAACCAAGCCTCAGCGGGAGTGCTGAAAACAACTCTGAATTCATATACTCAGATGACTTTGTTGCTAGTCCTGAGAACACAGTTTATTCCGAAGATTTCACCAGTGCTGACTGTACAGACAAAGATTCTGAAGCTCTTGACAGCAGTCCTGAACCTCTGTGTCTTGAAAGGCCAAAGCAAGGTGGGTCAGATACAGATCCAGAATCTTGCAGGTCTAGAATTTCAAAGACAAGTCAAAGAGCTGAAAGTATTTCAGATCTCATGCCAGTTCCTTCAGCTTCATCTCCAGTCCAGTCTTTAAGGAGAAACCGTGACTTTAAAACCAGCAAAAGAACGAGTCCTGAATCCTCTGACTCACTTAACCTCGCTCAGATGGAGGCATCATTATTAGATGAAGAGGAGAAAGCCCAACAGATCAGTAAGGAAGAAAACAGGGGTGATCAGCATATTAAACCAATATCTACAAGCAAACAAGTTAAATCTGCTACTGATCTGAATATAGGAAAGGGGAGGACCTGTGCAAGAGAAAAGCAGTCAGTAACTAAAGTTAGCTCTTACTTGCCGTCTAACGTGTCTGATCTTGAACTTAGTGTCCTGGAAAACAGTATGTCAGACAACAAGGAGGATTTTCTGGGAAAACTACATGCTCCTAATCAGTACAAAGACATCAGTGAACTTGTAATAAACAAGCTCCCAGGATATACAATGTAATTAGAAGTTTTCACTATCTGGTTTAAGATATGATATTTAAACTTTATAAGGACTGTTACATTTAGCTGCAATATAGACAAGATAATTTAAGACTTTATCATGTACATTTAGCACATCAGTGAATTTAGTTAAGAGGTTTTTGAAATAAACTACTGTTTGAATCTCTAACAAATGGCTTAAGTGGTACCTACACCTGACTTAAGTGTCTTAACTCAAAAGTAATCCAAACAGGACAGGAAACATAACTTACTGTCAAAGCAGAGAGTAAAGACACAAGCAGCAAAAGCAGTCAGCACCCACAAAACTTGTCCAGGGTAGAAGTAATGCCTTGCTACAGAAACAGCCAAGTACAAAATTCCTTCCTAACCAAACATAAGTTTTTATTCCTCATGAAAATAGTTCTGTGCTTCGTTTTCTTTACAAGTAGTTACTTTAAACATAAAGAGTCACAGCTCTATACATTATCGGCTAATCTGTATAACGATGTATTTGCTTCCCTGTCCTATCACTAAATATAGTGACCAGAACTAGATAATCCCTTTTAGAGTTTCTTAAGTTGAAGTTTCTCATTTAAGTTAGATTTTCCCAATTTATTTTAAAGTAGTGTAAGAATTACTGGTGACAGTAAATCTATATAATGTGGGAGAGTTTAAGAGGTGGATGGAAGTTACTTGACCTTGAAGACAAAAGGTGTGCAAAGAGTAGAGAAGAGCACAGTAAATTTTCAATGCTTCACAACTCCCTGATTGCATTCTCTGACAGTGGGGAAAGAGAGGAGGTCAGCACCCCCAGTCCAGAAACTCAGAACAAACAAGCATATTATGTCATGATGTAAAGATGTGAAAATAGGAGGAATTTGCCATTTGCCCTTTTCTGTCAAATGGTTGAACTATTACTGATATTTGCTTTGATTTCTGGTTTAGTTTTTATGGCTTCCAATTTGATCATTGAACTTAATGCTTCTGATTAACTACTGAGGTTTTTTTAGAGCCCATATCCCTATTACAAATTTTAGAGATGTTCTTTGACTTGAATCTGAAGAGGACTAAAAATTCTTGCCTTTTAATCTCTTGTACCTCCCCTTTCCACTCTCTTTGAGTAGTACATCTCCTGTGTCAGCTTTATATTCCTAGCTACCTCATCAATTAGATCATCAGGGTTAAATGACAGACTTACCCACTCCTCTTTTCCTTATAATTTACAATCTGACTTTTTCCACAACTCTTCATTTCCCACTGTAGTTTTCTATGTACTTTGCTGCAAGTACCTATGTTTACACTTTAACATCTTGGAGGATTTCTTCCTTTCCATCCTACTACATGTTTATTTTGTAGGAATGACAGTACCTCTCCTATTTAAAGTATGAACATCTGTGAGGATTATTCAAGTATCTAGTGTTGACTTCTGAGAACAACACTACTAATATTTTTAATCTAAAGGTAAGCAGCTGAAATTACCTATATATCAAAGGAATCTCTGGCCAGAGCAATTCTTAAATGTTAATTAGGGTGCCTCTTCAGTTACAATTCCAGAGCAAAGCATTATTTTTCCTTTTTCTTCTAATGCCATGGACTTCTTGGATACACATGGACTCAGACTGTCATTTCTAGATGGCAGTAACTGATTTTGTTGATGGAATAATGTCTTGCACTTCTCATGGGCAAAACTCATTACAATACAATGCTGACCAACCATTTTTACAGTGTGGCTATTTACATGAGTTGCTAACACTACAAGTCCATGATTTGAAGAACATTATTTAAGAAAAGTTTATTTTAAAAATAAAAAGTTTATTTTCAACCCCAACTGAGTTGAAACTGAAGGGCAAATTTCCAGTCCTTTTTCTATCCCCTATCCTATCTTCACTTTTCAATTTCCAGAAGCAAATATCGTAGGAACAATACTTCTTTTGTTTAAATAATTAAACTATTCTCTTTTCAGCTAGTTTTATTTGGGATAACATTTCTAATGTTGACTGTGTAGTAGCATTTATAATTTTATTGGGAGAATTATGAAAATGCATACTAGGAAGACAATAGGAGACATGACAAGAACAGAACTGCAGCATCATGCTTACATGTTTATGTTTTAGTTTTTTATTTTCAAATATAGACCCCAGGTAGTTACTATTGCATGGAGAGGTTAGCAGATGGCTTCTACCCTCAGGGATAATAGTCTTTTCAGATATTATCTATGTTGTTGTGAGAATAAGTGAATTTTTACTCAACATTCAAACAGCAACTCTCAGTCATCAAAAGTGGGAAAGAACTTTTTGTCACTGATTTATTATTGAAAACTCATAAACCAATATATTGGCAAGGCATACCTGCTAATGACAGTAGGTTTCTATATGTCAACCCAACGTAACAAAACAATTGCTTGCTACCAATACAAAATAAGAAAAAAATTGGCCGCAACAAATTCCATTTTGTACAAATCCTGTAGTAATCTACACTCAACAACATTATACTAGCTAGCCAATTTTGTCATTATAACTTGCATCCTGTACCCCCCTTATCAGGTTGTTAACATCAGAGGTTTAATAAGAGATTTCTCTAATGGAGGTATTATACCATTCTTTCATAAAGACGTAATTTCTAAACTGAAAGGGCTAAATTTCGTGGATCATGTTTGTGCAGGGGACATGGCAACATGCTGGAAGAAGCAAATAATAGTAGTATATACTCCACAGTTCTTACACAACCATCCCAGAAGTAGCATAAATATTTAAGAATACATGGTCTCATTGACTCATTACCTCTAAAAATTTCCTTGCTCCACACCATTAAACAGTAAACTATGATTACTTCAAGTTTTATATTGTTGTAAACTTTAAAACTTTACAGTGAAATTAACATGTGAGAAGTAATTACTTAATATTATTATAGATCCTCACTAAGCAAAGCCATTTAACTTCTTACTTTAGACTTGGTTCTTTAGCGAAATTGCTTTAAATCTGTACAATATTCTAGAAATAAGGCAGATGGGTGGTCAAAACCATAATTTTGTTGCTTAAGTTATGGGTGGTTAAATCATACAAAATTGAACTTCATGTTTTACAGTAAGACCCAAACCGAGAAATAAACTCATGGATATACATATTAATTCACAATTTATGACCCTAAAACAAGTTTTCTGTGACTGTTTAAAACCAGGTTTTTCAGCATCCTATGAATTAAAATTAATGTAGATAGCCAGTACTATATAACTGATGTTGCAATGAGAAGACCAGGATACCAAACACTGATGTTTCTGCCACTTTACCCTTTCTATTGAAACATTTTCCTGCTGCTAAGTACTTCTGAGTCTTACTACTCAGTGACTAAGAATAGTGTTAAGAAGTCCCAGCAAGCATGTTTCCTCCATTTCTTTATTCCTCAGCTCTCAGCAATCTGATTAGATGACACAATTTCTTTTCTCTTTGTGATTTCTCTGATAATAGTTCCTACTGCCTATTTTACTATTTGTAATCCCTTCATCATTTTGGAAGTCCTTTTCCTCAGTTTTCTGAAGTCACATCCAGGCTTTGTAACTGTGCGATTGAACTTTTGCCTCATTCTTACTGCTTTCATTTTTCTAGGTTCCAGTATTTTATGATGCCTGGTATTGTAATAATTTTTGTTTCTCTTTGTGTAAGTGCTGCTCAGAGTTAGATACTGATTGTTATTTAGAAATCTTTGGGACTTTGCTTTCCTTGTCTCATCATTTGTCACCATTTTACTACTTGCTTAGCTTTGATTTTCTAGAAAGAAGTCGAATCACTGAATCCCATATTCATACCCTTAAAAGGTTTTGTTGATTTCTAGGTGCAGGACCTTCACCAGCTTCAATGTAACACCACTCACTTGGAGCTGCAGAAAAACCAGGACTGTGAACATTTGCCCATGGTTATCAGACATCAGGTTTCTCTAGCTCTACCAAACCCTGACATTAATCATTTTCTAAAGTTTTGATTTCCAAATTAATCTTTCTTTTAAAATGACTGAGGCCATATCTGCGAGAACAGATGCTGGCTTTAATTTAACATGCATTTAGAGCTAATGGCAATCACATCTGCTATAGCTAAGATTTGCTACCAGCTAGCTGCTTGCATTTTCTATCCTCGCTTTTAATCAGTTTACTGCTCAATTTTAATTTCAGTTTTGTTCACATTCAGGTTCTTCCCTTATTTTAAATTTCTTGTATGCATGCAGTTCTGTTGTGTTGAAGTCACCCAGACAAGCTGCAACTTCACTGCCTTTTTCTTGTTTGGCGTGGACATTCACCTGTTTTTTTTGTTTTGGCTTGGCTTTTATGGTTTCACTTGTCTAAATTTTATATGACAACTGTAATGTAAACCTCCCCTGACTTTATGGAATTGCTTGCATTTTCCCAGAAGGGTAGTCATTGTTCTCTATTGTTTTCTAGAGGATGAATTTGAATGTCTGATGCCGGAGAAAACACTATTAATCTTCAATTCTGTAGAGACCTCTGCAAGTGATTCATTTACCACTTGTTTAAAATAACATGGCTTGGTAGAGGAATGTTTAAATAACATCTGAAATACACATTACTCCTAACTAAATTAACATTTAAAGGATTGATTCAGGTACTGTTAATACAAAAACCCAAAGCCAAACAAACCCACCCTACCTCCTCAAACAACAGAAAAAACCCATAAAACTAAAATGATAATTAGAAATATTCAGATGTCTATTATATATATTTATTCTAATCATAGACATTTTACAAACATTCCAGATGACAGAATGTTAAATTTTCCTTCGTGCTTTCATGTTCTTTATGTATCTATTAACAGTAGGTAGCTAGGTTTTTTAATGGAAGTAAAGGTATTTAAATTATCAAATCCCCTGAAATTCCACTAGAATTAGTCACCTCAAAAAAGGTTGCAGAATGGAAACCCATGCAGAGGACTCTAACCATTTTATCTCTTGGAATGCAAAAATGTTTTTGAAAGTAGATAAGTCATGCCTCAACAAATATTTTCAGAGGCATTTGGAAAGTTTAGTGGTATCATGATTGAAAGAAACTCCCTTAGTGTCAATGAAATTCCAACTCCTTTTCTCTTGTCTTTAACTGTTGGCAGATTCAGTGCTTTTCCTGTCTCTTATGGTTATGTACTAAGAGTATATAACCTTTGACTCCTCCCTAAGTTTCAACGCCAACAGGATATCCAGAACCATATTTCACGAACATCTCCCACTGCCTGCCCTGTTGTGTCTTTCATCTTGATGCCTTGCCTGTTCCAGCTTCTTATCACATATTTCATGCCATCTTTAGAATTCATCTTGCCCTACTTACCATGCAAGAAAACTCCAGACACTTCTCAGACACCTTCACTGACTTGTTCTCGTCTTTGATATGAAATTAAAGCTCTGCCCATTGTCTGCTGGGCTCTGCATGGTTTATCCCCTTCCTGCTTCTATGAACCTTAGTTTCCTACTCTGTACCCATTTCTGTGTAATTCTAACTTCACCCATCCTCAAAAAAACAAAAATCTGGAAATTGCTGTACATCTGTGTTTCCTTCCTTCATGTCACT